TACTCTCTCTCTCTCTCTCTCTCTCTCTCTCTCTCTCTCTCTCTCTCTCTCTCTCCAGGTTCTTCAAAAAGTGCTATACGTTAATGTGGTTGACGTTATATTTTTCACGGAATTAGAACTGGCAGCACTTCGACTAATGTACGTGGACAGAGATAACGCCAGCTTATTCAAAAGCCGAGTGTGTTTTATGCAATTGCAAATCGCCTCGCGGCGAGAATTCCGATGCGAATTGAGATTGATTATGCGACTTGCCTTGCACGTTCCACGATTTCCATACATGTGAGTTAGAACGATGTATGCTCGTCATGAAAATGTTAATCAAGCCCTTTGTTAAGAATCTTCAAATGTACCTCTATCTTCGATACATGTGCCGCTCCCGTTGCCGCCAACATTTCTTTCGCTTCATTTGCAGATTTACGTAACGCTATTAAAAAGAGGTATCAAACTTGGTAATTTCTATAATTCCACTGTAATCTACGGCTGCTAAATTTCGAACTATCCCTTTCAAAGTAGATCTAGATTCGAAATTAATACTCCGATTATTATCGTTCTGATAATCGTCCCGATTCTCTATAATATTTCATATCCGAATTGGGTTCTCTCTGTCGCTCTTGAATAAGTAATCTCGGATTCCAGCCAATTTCGCGGCAAGAACTTAATCTAAATAAGACTCCATTACTCCGCTCGGCATGTCTAGATGCTTCTACTGTAGAACTTTATTCGTCGCAATTTCCCACGGAAAATTGTTGATTTTTTATTATTAAAATATATGAATTTATTACGCTATTTTTATATCTACAGCCTATACTGTGTAAATTTGTTTGCCGCATACAAAATGTGCAAATTAACATTTGCATAAAGAGTAATCATGACGTCGAAAGGAGCCATAAGGCGCTATAATGTACAATCATTAACGGAAATAATTCTGGTACTAATGAATTATTAATTTCTTGCGTAGGCGTCGGTCTCTTCGGCGTGGGTTGACGCGAGATAGATCTTGACGTAGGTGACGACCTTTATCACGTCAAGTACCGCTTGACGTTGCTACTGGGTTAATTAATAAATTACCATCGGGATTACTTTATAATTTATAAAGATGATTAGTTAAAATAATTGTAAAATTCTTTCGCGTATTACGCGTCAATAAAACTCTTATTAATTTAAACAAAATGTTCGGAAGAATGTTTGAGCTAATTAAATGTATTTTTTTATCATAAATGGCTTTTTAGTGATCGCAAATTTTTATTCTATTATGTTTTTACGTTATGCATAATTTCATCGTTTACGATGAAGCTTGTAATATACCGCTAAGTTATCGTCGGCTAACAAGCAAAATTTAAAATTGATAAAACTTCTAATTTCTATAAATAATAAAATAGCTGTTTAAAACTTTACAATTAAAAAGTTTTTTCTGCAAATACGCAGTGAATTTTTGCCCTTCATTCTCGGGTTGATATGCAAGAGCATCGCTGCGGATATTTTGCGAGGTACTCTTCGGAAGCGCCATGCTTCCACACAAAGAGTGATAGAGCTGGGAAGAGAACGAGGCAGAAAGATATAGAGATACGAGAGAGAAGAAGAGAGAGAGCAGCAGGGAGAGCGAGAGTTCGAGAGAGAACAGACTCGTTCGAACCACCCCGGTTTGTGTCACCCACTTCTGCGGCGATGAGAGAGGGTGTACAGTAGAAATGTCGATAAAACGTGTCGGCCAATGAGCAAGCCCGATGTGACGTCACCGCCGCGGCATCGGCCAATCGGGTAGCGCCGGTGACGTCACCGGTGAGGGTGGAAACAACCCAACCCCGACCCGGGACGAGAAGCCGCAGGCTTTTTCTCTTTCTGGGGGGCTGCTGGAAAGAGGGGTCGGTCGGTTGGGCGGCAGGGCGGGGCGCGAGAGTAGAGATTGTTGGGGGCCACGGGGAGGAGGGTGGACGAGTGGCCGAGGGGGTGCCGGGGGTGCGGAAACGCGCGCCGGTGTGGATGCCGGGGTGAGTCGCCGGTGGCGGCTCAGGCAAGCCCCAATATGGGTTTACTAATCCCGCGAAACAATGGAAATTGCCCGATGCAAAATGGCGATAGGTAAACCGCCCTGGGTTGCCAGATGAGGCCGGGGGTAAACTTAGGACCTGGTCGGGATAAGAGAAAAAGATGAGGATGCTTTTTGGCCCAAGAGGTTTATCATCCTTCTTTGATCGGACTACTGTTAACTTGCAGTATAGTTGATTGTTAAATTTTCACGCGTGTGATTATACATTATACATCACTTCTTTAGCCTCTTAGTCTAGCTCTATTTTACTTTTAAATTTCAAATATATATACAAATATAATCATCACTTATATAAAAAAGAAAACATCTTTTTATATATTTGTGAATTAACATCGCAAATTATATTTAGCGCAGGATGTCATGCACGGACTCTCACAAGATACTGCCATTAAAATAATGATTAATGCGCAGCAGAATGCGTAATCGGATAGTCGAAGCAGGAATAGATACAAGCAAGATAGAAGCTGTATTGCGTAGAAATTGAGACGATTACTAATTTGTTTATGTCATTTTTTTTTTGTTTTGTTTTGTTTTTTTTCGTAGGTTTGGTTTCAGAATAGAAGAGCGAAGTACCGGAAGCAGGAGAAACAATTGCAGAAGGCTTTGACACCAATTCCCGCCTGTCAAGGTGCCATGATGAGGAATATCTATCCTGGTGCTAGCAGAGGTTATCAACCCTACCCCCATCCTCACAACAGCATAAATGGCATAAATCGTTATCCCCAGGTGAGGCTCCCTTACGACGCGCAGGACGCTTCCGAAATTTCATTATTATCGATACCCGCCGCTTTGCACGCTCACCAGTACACTCAGCGCGAAGATACACCCCAGATAATGGCAAGTAAATAATATAAAGTCATGCGCGAATTAAGTTCGAACATAAGCAAATTGTTACTACTCTCAAAAAACAGCGTGAAAATATTACAATAAATGGATAGACCTGTTTGTCGGTTTTTTTTTCAAGTGATTTGATTGCTTATGTTATTTAAAAGAAAAGTATTCAAATGTGTTATCAGAGAATTTTATAAGAATTTTTCGATACAACCGTGAGTTTGACCGCTTTCGAAGGTCCACATACTGGGAATGAATTCGATGCGTTTCTCGTTAATGATTTTAACCGAGGTATTAAATTGGAGTGCACCTGAGCGTACGTCCGGCGCATCGCTATCGGTCGATATAGCTAAATTGCATTTCGGCTGATTAGTTGGGTCGGCCGGATTACCGAATACCTACCGCTTTAATTGAGCCGATAATTCACGAGCGTGTGTCTCTTCGAAAAAAAACCTTATATCAGTTACACAAGTCTTCAATTCTAAAAAATTCGATCTATGAATATTTCACAGAATTTCTAAAAAACTGATTATAAATTACTAAGGTTTTCGCATGTTGATTGTATTGATGTATATATTCGCATGTTGATTGTATTGATGTATATATTGTCTATTAATTTTTCTCTTAAGAGTTAAAAATATCTAAAAACAGTGTGCCAACAATTAAATTATGGCGTTGGAAACAAAAAAAAAATACTTAATAGTTCTTAATTATAACGATTCTATAATTAATAGTCAATATTAATAATGATTAGTAGTACAAACATCGATGAAAAGTGTCAGACAAAGTAAAAATTTTATCACTTTATGTCTCATAAATTTTTTATAGCTCAGAAGATTCTTTATTTTTATCTTCGTCGGATTGTACTTAATCATGATATTACGAAGGATCGCGTAACACGTTGGAAAATTGATTACGGTCAGGAAATAGACGCCGCGACGCATTATTAATTTCCATCAGTTCCGAACGTATTACGCGATTAATTTTTATAATGAAACCATATCCTTCGTCACATTCGATTCCGCGCTCGTCTCTCCTGGTGAGTGGAAATGTAAGAGTGGTTTCTAGCCGATAACATGCTTCACACACGTTAATTACCGCGTTACTTTCCTCTCATTGTTTCACCTCGAGCCGTGCGCGTAACTCTGTAATTTCATTGATATCGCGAAATTCATTTTCATTCGTTTGTGTGCTCGCGAAAATTAATTATACGCGATATTAATGCCGCACGTTTAATTTTTAAGTAGAACAGAACAACGGTTCAGCGCGACATGTCTGTTTAGAAAGAATTGTGTCACAAGACATTACGGAATCGTAGCTTAGCGTTTAATTCGTTAGTCCGTTTATCCTTTATTACAAATTGAAACATTAATGTTATTAATCGTAATTGACAATGTTTCAGATGGGCACGACGTCTTACCCGAGCATGACCCAACCGTTCTCCATGTCGCATTCAGCGTCGAACATGTCGGCCGTCACCGGTATGCGACAAGATGCAATGGGTAAGTCATAAATAATGCAACGCCAGTGCTTTAGATGCGAAATGTGTGCGTAAAGTGAGTGCGACATGAATGGCTCGCGCGTTGCGCTCCCATTTGGGTCAAGGATTATGCAAATGTCTTTAATTCCACAAATATCCGTGGCATCTCACGTTTAAAGATAACCGACTTCATCGACTCGCGAAAAATTGAGCATGTCCCGTGCTACATTCGAATGAATATCTTAACATGTCATCTGACATCTCTAAACTATTTTTAATAGTCGATATTTTTAACATTCTGTAGACTAAAATACAAAACTTGTTTAAATTAATCTAATTTAAAAATAATTTTTCTAGAGAGACGCATGGAAATAATTTTATATATATATGATATCATATATTATTCTAAACAAACATCAAAATGTAGATAATACAACGTTTTACAAAGTCAACAAGTTTTAAGTAAGTAGTTATTGCTCATGATAAGTTTATGATTATCAAGTTTCTTATTGAAAGCTATCGTAAATCGTCATCGTCAGAAAACGATCTCGATCGACTATACGTACATATCTTTTACTCGATTATTATCTTTTGACGATTGCGCGTGTCAATTCTTTTTCGGACGTGGAACGGACATAAACTAATTTCTTTGGCCTCGTTCTTCTCGTTTTATCGTCCAGTTTCTTGACGATTTTCCACGCCGTCTTCGGGCGCTGACCCGACGTTATCGAATGATTCCGCAAAAATCCGGAGCGGAAATGGCGCGAATCCGACGCCCGTATACGAGAGAGCGCGTTCTGCCCGCCAGCCTCCAAGACGCTCTCTCCATTTCCGCCCCAGCGCCGTCTTACACCATTTCCGGTGCGAGATGGAATATCGCTTTTAAATCGAATCAAGACTATTCGCGAATTGCCTGCTTGCCTGCCTGTCGGGGTTGCTCAGCGCCAACGAGCGAACGCGCGATTGCTACGAGAACGCGTCTCTCTCCGCTCGCAATCTCTCACCGTTTCTCCTTAACGATTTAATGCCTCTCTCCTTAACGTCTTAATGCGATAGCAAATCGACCGATTAGTGGACTCGATAAAGCTCCGCGAAAAGTCGTTAAATCGAATCACTCTGGGATTCTTTCGCGAGAGAAAAGAAATCCGCCCCTTTGCGCCGACTCGACATCTAACTTCCACTTATTGAAAGGGTAGCATCGCTGGTGTTATATTAATCAAAGTTAACGTTAATTACATTTGCTTTAGATTATCTGCAACCGACTTTTTAGATTTGAATATAAGATAAGAATATAATATTATCCTTTCTTCTCCGTATATAACCTATGTATCACGATACATAGATTGCTATGTTTTTATGCTACTCTAGGATTAAAATTAAAATATTACAAATTCTCTAAAATTACATGTTGATAAAATTATGATATTTCTGAAATGACTATTGTATAAAATGTAAAAGAATGAATGGTTTGTAATTTTTGCAATATGATTGTTATATTAAAAATTACTAATATCACAAAATAAAAATCGATATAAAATTTTATATGTAATTTGGTCTGTATTCTTCAATTTTGCGCATAGGGAGCAAATATTTCTCTTGTTTTGCTTTTATTGTGATGCTAACAAGAAAGAAATTAATAGCGAACAGAGAGATTATTGAGCGTTATTTCATTCGGATTATTGACGTGATAGCGAGTAGTTGTCTAAAAACGCGTTTTTCCTTTTTAGGAATGTCAGCAGAGGACGAGTGGTACAACAAGAGCATCTCAGCCCTGAGAATGAATACAGCCCACCACCCGAATCTGGCCGCACCGATGTTACAATATCAAACATAATTGTAAACGGAGGCGAGAGGGCGACTTGAGGATCTCGTCAAAAACTCGATGGCATACTTTTGATTCAGTCAGCCGACATCGACGGAGAAAGAAAAGCGATAAAGTGACGAGATTGATGAAGCCCTATCGATATTTCGCCCCGCTTCGCAAAAAAAAGGAAAAAAGGCAAAAAAAAGAAAACAAAACCATGGATCGATTTGCATTATCGCTAATCAGCTTGTGCGGCCGCATCAACATCCCGATTTTGTGACAGATCCTCGCATCTCGCTTGCAACAGACAAGCTGAATTTGCAACAAAATGCTAATGTATGCGTGTAAAAGCTTTTATCAATTAGTTTCGTGCAATTCAAATATTATTAAACGCAACGTTGAAGATTAAGTGCGACGACAAAAGAGTAAGGGTGCGTTTATTTCGAGCATTCGGGATGTAAACTGCACGGCCTGATAGTTGATCGTGTGCGAGAGAAATACTGTTGCGAAATTTCAATTGGCACACTTAGATTCTCGTCTATAATTTCTTGTGTGATTTCCGCGACATAGGATATATCACGATTGATACACAGATTGTTCCTGGTGGTCGCGTATTTCTTCTCGATTTAAAGACGTTCTCGCAAATTTGGCATAGATCTTGTCAAATATCATGGACGATCGGATCTCATCAATAAAAATGTGTTTCAGTTTTATTTTTACGTTTCTTAAATTTAAACTGAATATTAATTCAAAGAAACTTATTCATCTTTGATTGTTAATCAAGAGTTGGCAATTTAATATTTTAAAGAAAACTTGAAGAATATAATTTTGCGGAAATAATGATAGAAAAAAGAAATTTCATTGCGCAAGGATTTTAGTTTAAAATATAACTAGGTAACTTGTTATATATTTTGATTCTTGAAGTACAGTAAAAAATCATTTTTTTCTATATGCCAAGAGGAAGCTAGATGTGTTCTTTCTTTACAATATTCGAGAAGCAGTGCGCGATACTTAAGACACTCTGTATCTTGGATTCGCGGATAGCAAGAGTCCTGCGATTAATGTGTACAGAACGTAGTGCCGTTTTTTGCGAGATCCGTATATTTTCTACATATAACGGATGTCCAATTTTTCCGCGACTACTTCTTTACGTTCAAGAGGACGCGTTGTATACGATGCGTATAAGCACATATAGATATCTACGACTGGAACGATCAGGGCACGCACACTCGCGCGCGACATTTCGTTAGTCTCTTAACAACGATTCGTGTCACATTTTCGTTAATCAGCGGAAAAGGGAGGGGAGGGGGGAGGGGACGGGACTGTACATAAGGGTGAAGATATAGATACATAGAGAGCGTAATCGGCAGATAATCTAGCATATGCGATTTTTCAATGTCCTTTTAAAAGTGTAAGCATACCCTTAGTAAATGATATTAGGCATTGATTTGTGTGCTTATGTTGACCGCGATTTTGGATAACACAACGGGCGGGGAAGGGGGCGCGGTGGGACGGTGGTATCTGACAATGTCTTGCGTTTGAAAAACTTGAGGGGCGCCAGGGTCTCCCGTTGCGACAATCGGCTTGCCGAAACTCATTCTTTTCGCGTAGATTAGACGCCGTCGCACACAAGTCGACACAAAAGCGGAATTCATGCCGAGCGATTTATTTATTGAAACTTGTATGCTTGAGTGTTTATGTAAATTTGTGTGCTACGGTCTTTAAACTTCTTTTACACGGAGAAAGTATCCGGTGCCATAGAGAGAGAGAGAGAGAGCCAGAGAGTGAAATAATAGATTATAGTAGCGTATATTTTATTAAACGAAAAAACGAAATTTCTCTTATTTTTCTCGCTTTAATTACTCAATAATAAGTAAATCAATGTTCTTCCTATTTCAAAATCTGTTCTGTTCACTGTCACGGAAAAATTCGTCTGCTGAATAAAAATTTTAACTAGTCATATTTATCGTCTAGTTTTATACGCAATCGCAACCTGTTAACTGATTCACGTTAAAAATTACGTCATTTCATTTACGATCATTAACCGTGATGTGATTGTTGCTTTCGCAAACATTAATTGTCACGTTAAAAATCGGTATCGCGTCAATTTTTAATCCTGGATGAGTGAGACAAAGTTTATCGTACCGGAAGATGAGAAGACAAGTCACACTAAGTGAATAAAGTTAACGAGACAGAAAAAAAATAAGATTGCACACTTTCTTACTCATCTAGAGTTAAATACGTAAACAGATCGTATATCATGTAACAATGTTGTGCTCGTAATATTCAGCCTGTTTGTATCAACAAGCGAGTAATTCTGCGCCCGATATCGCAACAACCATTGAAATATTATTAAAGTGTCGAAAATAAATATCTTTGAGATAATTTGCAAATATCATATAGTAGATACTTGTATAATAAAAGTGATCAATCAAACAAATATTATGCAGTCTGTTGCCGCAAGTTGGTTAATTATTACGATCACTCGTCGTCCGGATGCTTTCCCGCGTGAAAATAGAATTGGAACTTTCGTTATTTTAACCCTTTGCACTTCGAGCTCCTATATTGATTTTACGTTCGATTTGATTTCAACACTGTACATATAGTTAGCAAAGTCTGCGTACGAAAATTGTGTGTACTTTATATAAGTCCTTATAAAAAAAGACTATTAAGCATATTCTATTAATGTTTTCAATTTTACGAATATGCCACGAGCGTATAAGCTTATATATGTATATGAAGGTTTTTCATAATAAATATAAATCTATTTACTCCGAAATACACATATTACAACTCTGCAAAGACATCCAGGGATTTTGTGCAAACACATGCGGAGTGCAAACGGTTAATGCTCGCGATTCGCGACTTCTCCCTGGCGCCTTTCAATCGTAATATTCGGAGTCAACAATCATCTATATTGGTGTCATTTTTCGATAACTGTCTAATCAATATATCGACTCGAGGATGAAGCCGCAAACTGCGCATTGTCTTCGTGTAGTTTCGCTGCGACCTTATTATTAACGCTCGCGGCATTCCACGAGAAATGTTCCTAAAAAGTTTGTAACATATCGTACACGTACATACTATATTCATACATGCACGAACATGCAACACACACACAGACATATACCATATACACATAAACATACGGATATGCGGCACGCGTGGGTACATAATGCTAGTGCATCGAAACACGAAACAGCACGCACCACGTTGTGTCGAGAGGACAAGATTAAAAATTAAGTGGAAATGCATACCGGACGAGCGTAACATAGTTTTAAGCAAGGGTCACGTATTGTACGTATGTGTTGTACATAGCCTAAATAAAAATTACATTTAAAATTACCTCCTTTCTCGTGTCTTTGCTATACCTTGCGATATTGTTTGCCATTGATACAAAAATTGTGTGTATTATAATCCCTGTACCTTTTAAATTCAAATTGCAATCTATCGTCTGATTCAAACTTAACATTATTTGCGAAAAGTTGGAGAAAAAATACCTGTGTTACAACTTAATTTAAAAATGCGAAATAAATGTCAACAGCATTGTACAGCTTTTACATATATGTAATTGTAATTGTATGCTATCACAATTATGTACATATTTAAATATTGAATAAATAATAATAGTGTGCATGTCGCATCATAAGTATCGTGCATGATTGTGCTTGTTATTTCGTAATTATTTAATAGAAGAAAATTAAATTTCAATGGTCCTTATTTTCGACTGACATTAATATCAATTTTTGTGAGAACTAATGACACATAAAGACACAGCAAAGAGAAAGCTAAGAATAAATATTTTGTGTCATTTTTCGTGAAATCTCTGTTAAGTTCTGTGTTCAATAGCGCTATTTAATTTATTTTAAAGATTTTTAAATTTATTTTAGAACTTTATTATTTTGCCAAATCTATTTTTCAACATTGTCATTTGATACGTGTCTGTATACTTTGTATTAGGTTTATCCATTTTAAAGTAATAAATCTATGAAATCTATTTTCAATATTTTTAATGTTTTTCATCTTTTTTTAATGCATCATACTTAATTCAAGAGTATATACATATCTGACATATTCATTCGTAGATTCATTACCTCAGTAATAAAGAAATGATTATTTTTGAACTCGACTTACCGTCACAGCATGCGCAACAGCGGAGTTGTAGTACGTATGTTGATCTGAAAAATACAAATATATTCTGATTATAGTAACAATAAAAATAATAAATGTTATAAGAATAATTATTGCATTAAATTTCTTATTTGTTTCTCAAAATATTTAATGAAAAAGTTATAATTGCTGAAAAATCTAATTAAATATATTTTAAGTCTCAAATATTTTATTATTATTATATTAATATATTACGCATATTGTGTTACACAATAATGCAAAATATAATCAATATAGAAATCAATAAATTTTGTAGATTATAAAAAACAAATAATTATAATAAATTACTTACATCATCGTTGCTCCGCCGATGCCCGATGCTCCCTGGGCCTCCTCCTCTCTGTGATCTATCATGGTTGTTCTTTATGGCCCAACACACACTCGCGAAATTACGATTACGCGGACTTTGTCATCATGACAAAGAAAAACTCGAAAAACGCACAAACCTCGTTCGACATTCACAGAGCTCAGACAGAGAGCGACAATAAAGGAAAATCAAAACTGCGTTGTTATTTTGACTGTCGCGGCTATGTTACACCTACACTACTTTTGTAAGCTCTCCGCGCTTTATATACATGAAAAATAATACACGTTAGTATTTTAAAGTGTTAGAGCACTTTACTATTTTAAATTACAAATAATTAAAAAGATTAATTACACGTGTAATAAATGAATAAAATATGCGAACTAAATTTGTGAAAATGTACATCCGCGAAATAAAATATCGTTAATTGCAATGTAATTAGTCACGCGAATTGTGAATTGATAATTATTCGTAATAAAAAAACGTTCCAATTGTTCGTGAATACGGTTTAAGATAACGTGATTTGTAACGGAAAAATACGGATTGCCGCTACCGTTTGCTCCGTTCACGTGTATTGTACGAATGAGGCAGCGAAGGATACGCGCACGTAAACAACTACGTCACGAGAAAGGAATTTCGGTACTAACTCACGACGCGGCGCTTTTGCGCGTTTGTCCGTACTATATCACCTTGCTACCCCATTCGCACATTAGCGCGTGAACAGAACAAACGCTAGTAGCAATCGTTCCGTATTTTTACGTTATTGTACAAATCTCATTATTTTAAACCGTATTAACAACAATTAGAACATTTTTTTATTACGAATAATTATCAATCCACAATTCACACGACTACTTATATCGCGATTAATGATATTTAATTTCGCGGATGTACATCTTTATAAATTTAGCTCGCGTATTTTATTTTCCTTAAATAATAAATCTTTATCTAATAATTTGTAATACGAAATAGCAAAACTCTAACGCTCTAAAATGCTAACGTGTGATATTTTTCATTATATAAAGCGGGGAGAGTTTACAAAAGTAGTGTAGATGTAACATAGCCGCGACAGTCAAATTAATAACATTTTTTATTTTCCTTTATCATCGCTGTCTGTTTTGAGTTCTGTGAATGTCGAACGAGGTTTGTGCGTTTTTCGAGTTTTTCTTTGTCATGATGACAAAGTCCGCGCAATCGTAATTTCGCGAGTGTTGTGTAGGGCCATAAAGAACAATCATCACGGATCAGAGAGGAGGAGGAGGCCCAGGGGGCATCGGGCATCGGCGGAGCAACGGTGATGTAAGTAATTTATCATCAATTTACTAAATATTTATTATTTTCTCGAGATATATATATATTAATTATTTATTCCACACTAATTGCGTTTTGCATTATTATGTAATATAAACAATTCATATAGAAACCTCTGTGAAGTTGGCACCCCATTTAAAAAAATCAATTTTTTTTTTAGAGTTCTGAATGCACCCCAAAGAGTTCTAGAGTTCTCCATAAAACTTATAAATAGTTCCGGCAAATTAGACAAAAAATCAATTATTGAAAGTATGGGGTGCTAACTTCACAAAACGTTATCACAAAATTGACGATAACAGCTTAATCGTCGGAAATAATTGAAAATATCATTAGAATTATTTGTAGAACTCTTGAGGTGCTACCCAGAACTCTAACAAAAAAATTAAAATTCCAAAAAATTTTATTCTTATTGGAACTTAGAATATTTTCTTAATCGGTGATACGAAAAATAGCGAGAACTTGTTATATATTGGTCTGAGCGCTTTGAACCTTAATAATTATCGTTAGAACTCTTGAGGTGCTACCCGGAACTCCAATAAAATAATCAAAATTCCAAAAAAATTTCTCACTCTTCGGGACTTCAAAAATTTTCGATCGGTGATACGAAAAATAGCGAAAACTTTTTATATATTGGTCTGAGCGCTTCGAACCTTAATAATAGGAGCACTTTACTCTTATATTTAAAAAATAAAAAAATTCAAAAAAAACACTAATCGACACTAATCGCTGATGTAACATTATCGGTCGAAAAAGACAAAATAATTCTCTACCTTCAAGAGTAAAGTGCCTTTTATATGTTTGTTCTGGTGAAACTGAGAGTTGTCCCGGATTGTTCTGTGTCTATTTCTCATTGTTCTAGGTTTTAGTGTCGCTGATGTAATATTATCGGTCGAAAAAGACAAAATAATTCTCTACCTTCAAGAGTAAAGTGCTCTTTAAACGTTTGTTCTGACAAAACTGAGAGTTGCTCCGGATTGTTCTGTGTCTATTTCTCATTGTTCTAGGTTTTAGTGTCGCTGATGTAACATTATCGGTCGAAAAAGACAAAATAATTCTCTATCTTCAAGAGTAAAGTGCTCTTTAAACGTTTGTTCTGACAAAACTGAGAGTTGCTCCGGATTGTTCTGTGTCTATTTCTCATTGTTCTAGGTTTTAGTGTCGCTGATGTAACATTATCGGTCGAAAAGACAAATAATTCTCTATCTTCAAGAGTAAAGTGCTCTTTAAACGTTTGTTCTGACAAACTGAGAGTTGTTCCGGATTGTTCTGTGTCTATTTCTCATTGTTCTAGGTTTTAGTGTCGCTGATGTAACATTATCGGTCGAAAAAGACAAAATAATTCTCTATCTTCAAGAGTAAAGTGCTCTTTAAACGTTTGTTCTGACAAAACTGAGAGTTGTTCCGGATTGTTCTGTGTCTATTTCTCATTGTTCTAGGTTTTAGTGTCGCTGATGTAACATTATCGGTCGAAAAAGACAAAATAATTCTCTATCTTCAAGAGTAAAGTGCCTTTTATATGTTTGTTCTGGTGAAACTGAGAGTTGTTCTGGGTTGTTCTATTCGTTTTTAGCTTAAATATGTAATTTGGTGTCAAAACATAATATAATAATAGCGATAAATGTAAAAATACTATTTGGACGCTTAATGCTATTTTTTGCTATATCTTTTTAAATTCTTTTTTAAGGATATTAATATTTTAGAACAATGTTTAGAACAATTAGAACAATCCAGAACAGCAAAAAAATTTGAATTTTTTAAAAAATGGGTGGCCACAAAAATAAATCGTTTTTTTGCTTTTCCCGTCATGTTTTTCGATTTTTTTGCTCATAACTTTGGAACAATATAGAACAAACGTAGAACAACCTAGAACAACTAAAAAAATATTCAAAATCGAAAAATGGGGGGCTAACTTCATATAGGCATAATCCATATATTTTAATATTGAGGTAATTGATCTATGAATGTAATACCAAATGGATTAAATAAGCTAAAAAACTTTAGATAAAAATATAATAATGCATTATTACAAATAGACATATTTCATAGATTTATTATGTCTTAAAATGGAGGAGTCCCAGACAATATGTAAATCTTAAAAACATCTAAAAGACGTTCAAAAGGCGTCAGAAAAAAATGACGTCTTTCAGATGTCCTTAAAGGTACCTTTTCACGCTGACGCTCCACGCTCAATTCCAACTTAATTTCAGCGTTAAAAGATATTGTGATCAAAAACTATTGTAATAGTTGGTTATTTTTAGTCGTCGGATGTGTGTGTATTCTAACAGAAATCGAGCTAGCTGAAATTGAGCATCAAACGTCAGCGTGAAAAGATACCTTAAGGTTAGCATGTTGTCTAGGGTTAGTACAGGTTAGATTCTATAAGTATTTCATGCGTACATAATATATGAACATTTTGATACTTTTAAACTTCTTACAATAAATATTTAACAAATACAAAATATAATTATGTGTATTTTTATAGCTATGTACATATTTAAGTTATAAACAAATAATTACTCACTAGCTGGAATATTGCTGTTTGCTCCATCCGCTATAGATTCCACCTTAAATTGCTTTATATTAGCTTCATCGACAAATTGATGAAATTGATGAAAGTCGAAAAAAAATTCACTAATAATTAGTCACACATAATTAGTCACTTTGCTATGAAAATTACAGAGTAACATCACAAATTTACTATGTCGCGATACACAAAATGAGATAAAACGCATTGTATGTCTACACAAATAATTATCTAACTATTAATTGTTCTCCAGCAAGGGACACAAGTTGACACAAAAGTATTAAGGCCGGAGCACAGACTTTTACATAAAGCATAACGCATAAGACATAAGGAAGAAAATA